ATATCATATTAGTATTTAAACATTATCAAACATATTTAAATTGCTGTTAACATCTTTAGTGAAATATATGCACACATCTATATTTAACAATCTGTAAATATCTGTAGACATCTGTATTTTAATATTTATCACCATCTATAATAAAGATCTGTCTGTATATCATATTAGTATTTAAACATTATCAAACATATTTAAATTGCTGTTAACATCTTTAGTGAAATATATGCACACATCTATATTTAACAATCTGTAAATATCTGTATTAAAAATCTATTTTTAAATATTTATCTTTAAAAATCTGCCAGCATCTGTACCTCACCTGCAGTGAGCAAATGTCTCCAGCAGGGGTCACCCATGTTATTCTAAAATCTCTCCTAGATACATTCTGTCATGTGTTTTCTATGCTGTTTAGGTTTATAATTTCTATTAGCATTTTTACAATAAAAAAAAACAATATATATATATATATATATATATATATATATATTTTTTTTTTTTTTTTTTATCTATTACATTCTAACATTAATGGATTGATTCTGTGAAAGGCAGATCTGGCAGATTTAGCTGGTTTTAATTTATCTTTAGGACTGAAAGGCTGATCAAAGTGGGATAGATGTACTTGAACCAGATCTGAACCCAAAGACTCAAAAGCTTAAAAACAAATCAGTCAGAAAGTCAGAAGTCAGAAACCAACCTCTTCGTGCATGAGTCCAGCTTTCTAGTGAGATTTCTGCAGAACACAGAAGAAGGAATTATCTCTCCAAACAATAATCTAACGCTCTGTACAGAAACACTCGAAGAACCCTCCTACCGATCTTCCCATCCTCCAGGAGGAGCTCCACCAGGCTGAAAGCAAAGGTGCAATTTTCTGGTACAGTAAAGCTGGTGTCCTGCTTCGAGTCGCCCTGATGGAACAAACAGAGATTGAGCATTCGCAGAAACAAAGTCAGACTTTCCAAAAAAGTAAAAAAAACAATCCACTGGACTTTGTTTCCAAGTTTGAAGATGTTTCGCTTCCAATCCTGGAAACTTTTTCTATTCAAAATGTCAAAAATAGCGTTGAGTTCGAGGGTCTTATACAGTAGACTAACAAGAGAAGCCAAGTGACCCCCATTGCAAAGCGCCAGGCCCTGTTCATCTGCTTCAATTTGCATGTTTTTCGAAGAGCGTTTATGGGCTACTGTATAAGAACCTCAAACTTAACTCTATTTCTAACCTTTTGAATTGAAAAAGATTCCTGGATGGGAAGAGAAATGTCTTCAAACTTGGAAATAAAGTCCAGTGGATTATTTTTTAACTTTTTTTGGAATGAATATGGCCTGGATGACTGAGAATCTTCACCAGCACAGTCTGAGACTCATTTCCACCAGATGGTTTAGACTGAATGCAGCCAGCAGGGGGCATGCTAGGCTCTGTTTTACAGGGCTGTGATGACCTGAACCATAAATTGAGGAAATATTCCTCTTGGAGCAGCTTTTATGAGTTTGATTTCCAAAACCAAGGAAAAAAGGCACCAGCTACATGTATATACTTTAGAACGTTCTGTAGGTCTTCTAGTCATCATCCAGCCACACCTGAACATTTGAGGGAATCAGATCGTGAAGAAGAACATCTGATGTTAACTTCTCATGTTGTTTTCATGTCTATGGAGGCTTAATGTTGAAGGCTGAGTCCCTGAGGCCTTGGAAAAATGTCTAAGATGCTAATGTCTAATATCAATCCTGTGAAGGGCTGGTTATCCTCCTGCGGCAGTGTGTCACAGTTAGCTTGTTGCAGATATTTTTGATTTATGCCCAATATTGAAGCGTGGTCTGTGCTGTTATTCCACGCCACAACGCCAGAGGGCCAATCAGGAAGTAGCTGAGGGTCTAGATACGGCTGAGGCGGTGAGGAAGTGGGGGCAAGTTTGTGCGACAACGGAGGGACATGAGGGCCAAAAAGAGCGGGGATCCAGGTGGAAAAAGGGTCCCAGCGTTCTCACGCACCTTGCTCTTCAAGCTGGTCCATTTTCACCAGTCGTTTTCCACAATGACGGTCAGACAAGCAAAACAAGCCGGTAAGGTACCGAATACGAAATGCACATAGTCTAGAGCGGATATAGATTTGACCAATCAGAAGCCTCCTGTCTGCGGTCACCTACAATTTCGGAGAGGTGCAGCAGAGTGTCTGCGGAAGGGGCGGGGCATATCTGCGTTAACTGTGACACACGCAGACGACCTGGTTTCTGAGCATAAATCAGCCTTAAGGCTTGTTTGTAGTTCCAGCAGACCTGATTTAAATAACTGAGTCACTAAAAGAACTGTATGACACATTGAGAAGAAAATTCTCCGTCTAGGATCAGCTGTGCTGGAGAGGGAAGACCTCCATAATCCAGGATATCATCCCTGGACATATGGAACAGGAAACCACTGCTTTAAAAGTCCTGGATAAATGTTAGAAGATTTTTATCTTCTCTCTAGCTTCTCTTTAAAGGTCAGTTATAGGTCTCTTCTAGGTTCTGTCAATCCTTAAGATCTGCCTGGTTGTGCTGAGCGGTGGGCTGAGCGGTGGGCTGATCGTTTGTTTCTCTTCTGAGCTCCGCCACCAGCTCCTTGCTTGGTAAGTAGAAGGCCAACCCTGCTCCCTCCCCCTGAACATCTCTAGGTCTCTGTTTTTGTGTTCTCCTTGCTCCAGAGAAGTGTGTTAGCTTCCTGTGTGAATAGGATGGTTCCCCTGAGGAAGCCCTAAGCTGGATGCCCTCCAACAGTCCAGAGACAGGTTCTGCAACCTGAACGATGTAGATATGGAGGAGCCCAGGCAGTCAGAGAGCGGTCTTCGAATGATACTGGGATCTGGGTCTGAGATCTACCAGAACCCTGCAGATCCCCGAAAGAAACAGCTACAACCTGATGAAGCTCTAATACAATGATGTTGTTGAGTGAGAAACTACAATCAGATTCTAGATCTTTTCCTTCAGGGTTAGATTTCTAGAAAGATGTTCTGCCAGCATTTCTTACTCGCCTTAAAGAACAGATTGGCCATTTTATTGAAAGAAGCTGAGATGCATCCGTCTTTTTTCCTTTTGCTGATTATGGTCACAGCTCCGCTGTTGTAAACAGTCTCATAAACAACGGCCAGTTTGTCCTTTTCCTTTAGTTTGAGCAGCTTCAGCATGTCTCCTTTTATCATCCTTAGGAGGAGAACATCAGCAGAAGAAACAGTCAGAAACCAAAAGGATCCACCAGGTGAGAACAACATAAAATACCTGTACCTGCCGCTAAACCTGCTCCTCACATCTGGAAGGTGGACTTTCTTTTTCTTGATGCTGACCGGCTCAGCCAGACCATCCACAGAGTCATAGTTCCCAGACATTTCCGCATTACCAACAGCTTCATGTCCTCCATCCAGTTTGCTGCCGCCGCTGGTTTCGACCCAAGTCTTAAAGTCGTCCACCAAGACTTTCTCCTCAAAATCTGTCATTAAGGCAGAAATGTCCTAAAATCACTCTAGTCCACTGTTTGTGTGTCTGTGAGCTTCAGATGACTCACCTGGAGAAAAGTCCTGCTCCTTCATCAGCTCAGGTAGAGTGATGTTCAGGGGCTTGTATTTGGGGTACTGAAAGATGCTTCCCTTTCTGATCCGAACCAGAGTCAGAATTTCCATCTTTTTATTTAAATTACAGTTAGCAATTAGATCATCTTCCGCTCCGGTGTTTTTCACCAATGCTTTGGTTTCAGCAGCGAACATGGTCTGGGGAGAAAATATCAAGAGACAATTAAGGCTTCATATTCTGTCCTTAGAGCAAAGACAAGATGGAACCATGTTCCAGATGTTACTGTCTACGTGTTTTTTATTTATTTGGTGTATTATGGTAACCTGGCAAACCAGATTGACAATGTGTAACAGTACAGCTAAGCTACACAAATACTGAGTTAAAATTCAGCGGCTGAATCCCCTGAAGGCCAGATTCGTTTGCCGATTACATCACAGCGCGGCGCCAAGGCCTGTTCGAGCTGGCTGCTCCGTGCTCAGAGGAAAAAGAGAATGGCGCCTCACAGTGGTGAATAATGGAAATGCAGTTTAATATAATCCAACTATGTGAATAGTTCCGTCTGAAATTAATAAAAATAGTGGTTTTAAATGCTTATTGAGTCAGATATGTGGCGTGTAATGTTTGGTTTACTGAAAGGTTTTATTTGTCCCTGGGTAAACGGGTTTGGCTGACATTGAAGCTCAGATTCTAATATCTCTAAGTGTATTCTCATTATCAGTTCGTATGAAATCGTACGAAAAGTTATGCACAGTAATTTCGTACGTTTTTGACGTTTTTTTTGTCGCATTTCGTCGTATTTTTACGTCTTGCCTCAAGACAAGATATGCTTGCGCATGCGCATCTTACGCACCATTAAATAACATAGAATTTAACATACAATTAACCCTAAACCTAAGATACAAAACAGCAAGCAACCTAGTTAGAGACCTGAAGAAGTTATTATCCCAGTTTTACGTCCGTCCGTGGATCTGCTTTTTTCGTCTGTCTGGCTGCGCATGCGCACTGATCTGTTTTTTTGAGGAAAAACGTCAAAAACGTACAAAATACTGTGCGTAACTTTTCGTACGATTTCATATGAACTGATAATGAGAATATGTTGCATCTCTGCAGTGTGGGGACGATAGATCTGATATCTCAGACGACGGTACTTTTGCTGAAGCTCCTCAGAAATGTTATTAGCACTCAGAACAGCAGTGAGAAGTTCAGTATCCGTTCTTGGCGTGCTTTTTGTGTCAACTGTAACGGTTGCTAGGCAACAGAGCATACAGGTGGTGAAAGTCAGCGAAGGCTGGACCTGTTTGAATCCACAGCTAAACTCTTCCAGCCACCTTACTTTGGAAAACCTTCTAGGATCCAGTCCAGATAGACCAGGTCCTTGGAGGACACAGTCGCTGAAATCGAACATTATCGATCTCTACCTGCTCTGATTGGATCTCAGAGAAACATGGAACATTCAGCTGAATCTTCTGAGCTGATTGAATGCAGTGACACCTAGAGGCTCACTACCAAAATGCAGTTTATTCCAGTCAAGATAAGAGATGAAATACCAGCACAAGCCATAAGAAACCACAAAAATGTATACTTTAATGTTCTAACTGTTTCTCTTTCAAAGATGAAATCTTAGAATCTGACCAATATATGCGATAGCAGAAGCTACTCATATATTCTCCTGTCCTGTCACACTGCAAGCCTTAACGCTCAATTCCGATTTTTTTGTGAAATCTGATTTTTTTTTTTTGCGTTCCCGTTCATATTTCCAAATACAGTATATGCGACTTGTATGTGATCTCCTGTGTGAACTAGAGTCATAAAAATGCAAGTGTCCCACATGCGCAGTAGAGGACGCAATGACGTCACAGGCAGCATGCTCTATATTTACAGGAGTAAACATGGATGGAAGTGCCGGCGCGTATCTAGCGATCTTTTCCAACCATAAAAACTCAAACTTTTCAATATGGTTAAACATAAATACTGCTCTCTGCATTATCGTCCTCCATGGTTGTTGTTATTCTTGCTGCTTCTGCATATCAAGACGCAGAATAGTGACGTTTGTATGGTATTAATGACGGCCAGGTCGATGAATCTGACCTGGCATTTGAAAAGATCTTTTCAGGTCACATTTGAAAAGATCTGATTCGTATCGGATTCAGGACCACATAGCCAAGTGGCCTGGGTCATGAAAAGATCAGATCCAGGTAGCATATGGTAAAAACAAAATCGGATTTGGGTCACTTCAGGCTGCAATGTGAACGTAGCCAAAGTTTTCAATCTAAGGAAAACCAGCTGATTGCATCGACTCATTGACTCTTCAGCAATCCCTCACACTAAGCATGCTTGTAGCGACAGTGGAGAGGAAAAACTCCTTTTTAACAGGATAAAAAACCTCCAGCAGAACCAGGCTCAGTGTGAGCGGCCATCTGCTGAGGCCCACTGGGGTTCAAGGAGACAGAAGCAGACATAGAAAAAGAAGCATAGATACAAAAGGCAACTGTCAACCAGCTCCACAGGCGGCCCCGTCCAGGAAACACACAGCCAGGCAGACGAGCTCCGAGCCAGCTCCCATGTTTCTTAGCCAACATGTTTCAGGGAACAAGACATTCTGTTTACTAGTTACCACTTTTCAACAATAACAACAATAACAATAATCTACTTTGGAGTCATTTTCATTCTAGTCTTTTAAATTCTTTAATCTGCCCATTTTGTTAAAATAATTTATTTGTCCTTTATTGATTAGTTTCATTTTGTAATTGTATAATTTACCACACAGTGAGCATTGTATAATCCAACTTTACATTTTTCATATTTTTACACATTACAGGCAAATACAGTTAATTCTGTTTCTGAGAAATATAGTGAAGCCGTGTTGTTCAGGCTCTGCTGAGTTCAGTTCTGGCTACTGAATTATTATTAATGCAACTCTAACATTTTAATCTGACTCATGTGTGTTAGACAGAAAACTGCATTGTACATTTTTAATACCATGATCCTGAGTAAAATCAATGCAATTTTTCCAAGATTCTGCCTGCATTGGTAATATGTGGATATATTTTTACTGTAGTGTTTTCAGTGTGTTGCCATGGTGATATTTGATTTAAAGGATCATGTACCTTCTGCATAACTGCTGCTTCATCAGAGATCCTGCTAGTACACATGTACTAAAAACGTATATAAAACCTTTGCATGAGGATATTCATCAATAAATATTAAATCTAAGAATGCTGCAGCCTCCAATATAGATCATACTGTAATAATCTGAAGTTTCTAGGAGGTGAATTAGCTCCCCAGTCTTACCTCCGTCTGTTGCTGCAGCAGAAGGACGCTCCTCGGTTCACGTTGCAACTTGTTGCCTCTCTGCAGCCTTTCATGCTCTGCAGCTCCAGCTGGGTGTGTATTTATACTTCACGTGTATGGCAGGTTAGGTATGAATACGTCTCATATTCTGTGACGTTACATGGATAAGTCCATGCAATTATTTAGCAGAAAATGGAGGATGAGGCTTAGTCGCCAGCTAAGGTCTGCTGCTGATGTTTACTAAGCCTCTGGCTGCATCCTGAACCTCCTTGTCTGGAGGTCATGGTTCCTGTTAAACCAGGGGGGATTTACTCCTGTGTGAAGTGCAGTTGTCTCTAATTTATGTATGTTTTGCGGTTGCCATAACAGGATGTCTAAGAATTTACAAATGTAAGTTTATTCCTGTGTTCAGTTCAGAGGACATGTCTGTCCTTCTAGCTGAGACATGCAGCCCTCATTCTTCTCAGGTGGGAAAATAAATGCTTGACTCTGTGTCTTATCTTATGCAGCTTCTCCTCCTGTCAGTTTATCAAAGACCTGATTTATCTGATGTTTGGTTTGGGCAGAAACCAAAAATATCCTGGAAGGTTAATTCAATAATTGAACGACACAAAGCTTCAGAAACATCTCTGGGTTTTCTTCTGTTTTCCTCATCATAACATCAGAGATGTATCCAAAAATCAGATTTGATCTCCTGTAGTTTTTGAACACCAATGTTACTCTATCTTTTCTAACCTCAGTTTTATGATGGATGAGGGGGGCAGGGTGGGGTGGGATCTGTAACGTCTTAAATAACAAATCACAAAAGCTGTTATACACAAAAACTGCTAACTTGAAATTTTTTTCTTTTTAGCTCAACATTTTGGTGCTCCGTAATATAGCAGCATCTCTAAGCTACGCATACACTACATACTTTTGCTCCACAATACGGGAAATTAAAGGGAATTTGCTAATATAGTAGGATGGTGGGAAAGAGGGTTTAAAGGAATAGTACACCCAAAACATGATTAGCCTTCATTTTCT